TAGACAGATAAACAGATAGATAGACGGACAGACGCTCTGAGGAGACAAACACAGACCTATGACATCATCCCATGCGCGGGGCGTCGCGCCTCGTGAATAGTGATGTCATGAGGACAGCCGGTTAAAACAATAGCGGCTGACCGCAGCCTGATTCCCGTTTGACGGTTGTGTTGAAAAAATGACATAATAATATGCTGAATGTATAAATGAATGATGACCGCGACACCGCTGTAATGTTTACAGCTGAACGCACTGACCCAGTCCGCTGAGGTCCTGTCTGACGTTCAGGCGGTTCCGCTCGTCCGCGATGGCCTTCAGCATGTGCTGCAGGGACTCGTCCGGCTCGGCGGAATCATCGCTCTGGCCCGGTAGAGCTGCCATGATGCGCGCGGAGCTCATGACACGGTAGCGCCGCTCATCTCACGGTAACGCCGCAGACCCGCTCTCGACACACAACAACACGGGCACTTCCGTCAGCTGCCTCTGCGTCTCTGCCCGTGCTCGGCACATGACGTCATGCCGTAAGCGTCACTTAAAGGGATAGTTCACCTCAAAAAAAAAAAACATTTACTCACTATTTACTCACACTACAGTGGTTCTAAACCTTTATTAAGAGTTTACTTTTTACACAAGAGAAGACATATAGAGTACAGACAATGCATTGTGGGTATTTAGAACAAGGGAGTCTGACTCCTGTTGATCTCTGTTGATTCATCAGCAATAAACTGTAAGCGCTCACACTAGAAATAAAGAAGAAAACTGAGGTAAAGTTGGTTTTATAATCGCACATTCAGACTTTCTCCTTAATAATATCATTTCAGAAAAGTAGTATTTGCAATCTCTGAATAGAGAGATCATATAGCAGCCAATGACTAGCAAAGTAACTTCACGGTCAATTAAATAGCGCTAAAGTTGATTTGAATTGCTATTTCACACCCAATATTCAAAGAAATCAGCGTGGTAAACAATATAGAGACCATTAAATGACCACATGTGCGAATATAAACCCAACTTTACCTCAGTAAAAATCATATCTGGAACTGTTTTCTTGCAGTCTGAGCTCGTTGATGCCCATAGATATAAACACTAGATGTCGCCTGGTCTATTGTACGGAATGCGTCAATTGCGCCGCCATCTTGCTACAGGGTAGCGCTCCTTTGAAATGAATGCGCGACCAAGGTACAGTGGAGGACTGTGGCCATGCAAAGCCAGAGATATACACATATACACACATATCTATGATCGGGAGTTCTCCTGGATGTTAGTGTGTAATTTTTTTTTTCTAATTACGAAAATTATAATTTTACATCACTTTTCTACATTGATGGATCAGTGACCGCACGGGCATTCCTGACAAAAAGCTTGTGTTTGTGTGTACTGAAATGTACTATCCACCCTTCCTGTTAAATTTGATCTAATCATGTCCTGAAACACAGCTCCTCTCCTGCTTTCACTTCTCATACTGACGGAGGGAGCGATTCGTTTGTGAATGAATCCCCCGAACGACTCTTTCACTAACGTTAGCCGACAATAATACAAGTTTCTGGCAGAGCAGCATCTCGTTGTCATATTTCTTTTGCATTGTTTGCTGATTTTATTCAACAAAACTAGCATAAGCAGAGTGTTTAGTGCGAGTAGGAGCTGCTTTGCCTTATAGTGAATGCAGTAAGTGACTGTTATCATCAATAACGTTACCTGATTAGCACAAAAGTTCAGAACATACAAAAACAGAAAAAAAACTTAATGTTAACTATGAAATGTTCTGCGTTTGTGCTTTGTTTTCTTTGTTTGCTCGTTACTACACCCGTAGACAGCGCTAAAGTCCCGCATCTTCACGTAATAACACTGTCTTGACTAGTGCGGTTGAATGACGTTTGTCCTGGGAGCACTGTACCAATGTGGCGGCGCTATTGACGCATGTTCAGGGTCCCTATGCGATATCTAGTGTATATATCTGTGGCTATTTAGTTCTCTTTGACTCATTGGATAGAAACGCTGCTTTATTCACAAATGTTTTATGCAATATTCCAGTTTTTCGCATAAATCTAACTTGCATCTTTGGATGGAAACACAGCTAATGGTTTCCGGTTTCAAACATTTTTCTAAATATCTTCTTTTGTGCTCAACAGAAGAAAGAAACTCCCTTTAAAGGACACTTTCCTAGTAATTCTAACGCAAATATGGCTTATTTAAAAAAACAAGAGAATCATTTGCATGTTATTGTCTTTTGCTTTTCTCCTCTTCAGCGTTCAGTGATGTTTCCATTGATGCATTACTTTAAATTTTCATGAAGACAAATTTTTTTTATTTTAAATAAGTAAATAAAGATAAAATAGGGAACAAATCAGAAAGGGATAGTGATCCAAATGTCCAAGCAATCTCAAACAACACGCACTTAACATAATTTTTCATCTAAATACGGTTTTACAATAATAGTTCACTGCATGTACTGATGCATTGAATGAGTTTGGTATACATTAATAATAATTGATAATTGCATCCCGACAGAAAAATCCAGCCTAAACCAGCCTAAGCTGGTTTTGGCTGGTTGACCAGCCTGGTTTTAGAGGGGTTTTGGCCATTTCCAGGCTGGTTTCCAGCCTGGTCTTAGCTGGTCAGGCTGGGAGATGACCAGCTAAAACCAGCTTGACGAGCCTAGCCAGGCTGGGAGTCCAGCCAAAACCAGCTATCTCCAGCTTAAACCAGGCTGGTCAAGCTGGTTTTAACTGGATTTGGCTGGTCATTTTCCAGCCTGACCAGCTAAGACCAGGCTGGAAATGGCTGGAAACCAGCCTGAAAATGGCCAAAACCCCTTTAAAACCAGCCTGGTCAACCAGCTAAAACCAGCCAACCAGCCTAGGCTGGTCTAAGCTGGATTTTTTAGCAGGGATAACACGCTAGTAATTAAATAGTGCTAGTAATTACATATTGTAAGCTTTATGTTATTGACTGAGGATCTTAGTGGTCCTTTTTCATTATCTGCAATTGCATGTTTTCCCAGAAAGCGTCTGGAGGTGCATTTGAAGAGAAAACCTGCATGTTTCCTATTTGTTCAAAAATATCACCAAAGTGGCAGCCAAGCAGCCTTGCTTTACATGAACACTCATTTTCAGTCATTTTACAGCTCTTTATTCATTCATTTTATTTTCAGCTTAGTCCCTTTATTAATCCGGGGTCGCCACAGTGGAATAAACCGCCAACTTATCCAGCACATGTTTTACGCAGCAGATGCCCTTCCAGCTGCAACCCATCACACAGCTCTACAGTTTAAGCATTATTGAATCCATTCAGCCGATCTCCGGGTCTGGCGGGAGCACTTTTAGCTTAGCTTAGCATAAATCATTGATTTGGATTAGACCGTTAGCATCTTGCTAAAAAAAAAAAATGTTTAGATAATTTCCCCAATTAAAGCTTGATGCTTCTTTATTTACATTGTGCACTAAGATACTGAAATATATTCATTTTTAGGCTAGGAACTATCAGCTCATTCTGCCGACCTGTCAATATCAGGGTGTAAAAATGAGGGATACCAGCCACATTCACATTTAAGAGTAAGAGGCGTCCTCTACATATGTGTATAACGAGGATCTGCCCTTTGATAATGTTTAATGCCACCCTTCATAAAAGGATTAAAAATATAAAGTAGCTACAATATAATAGGTAATGAGGACTTATATTACTGCTGTAAGATGAAATAAATTCAACCATCCCTGATCCTTGTTTTAAACGCAGATAGGCGGGACATTTTTTCATTGTGTGTAGGAGTGTTGGTGGTACAAACAGTTTGGGTGGAGGTGTACAGGGAAGAATTATTCGCCCCCCTGTTTATTTTTTCTCCAATTTCAAGTTGTATAATGATGGTTTGTTCTGTAGACTATTGAAAAAAAATAGCTTAAAGGGGCTAATAATATTAACCTTAAAATGATGTTTAAAAAATTAAAAACTGCTTTTATTCTAGCCGAAATAAAACAAATCAGACTTTCTCCAGAAGAACAAATATTATCAGACATACTGTGAACGTTTCCTGAATCTGTTCAACATCATTTGGGAAACGTTTAAACAAGATATAATAATTCCAAGGGGGCGAATAGTTCTGACTTCACCTGTAAGTCACAATTTATTTCCATTTCAATTGCTTTATGTCCTGGATTATGTTTATTGAATATGTATGAAGACATTTTTCTACTAAAGCAAGAGAATTGATTGGTTTATGTTTAAATCAAGCAAGGCGTTGTATTGCTTTATCTTGGAAACATGTTAAATCGCCCCTCCATTGGACTTTTGGTTGAGAAACTTAACATGTTTGGCTCTTGAAAAGCTCGAAAATAAGAAAAAACCCTCTGAATTTTGTGATATCTGAGAAGGTGCTTTTGTGAAAAATCTGAATAAAAAAAAAAACAAGTCTGAAGTTGTGGAATGGTAACTGGTGCTTGATTAGAATTTTTTAAATTTAATTTAAATGTATTTATTTTAACATTATTATTATTATTATTATTATTATTATTATAAATTTTTCAATAAGGATTATTATTTAATTGAGATTTTTCCCTAAACCTGTCTGGGGAAAGTTTTGGGTATTGGAAACCCTGAAAAAAAAAAACTCAACATACAGAAAAATATAAAAAAATAAAAAATATAAAAAAATATACAGCTGAAAGGAGCTAATAATATTGACCTTAAAATAGTGCTTAAAAAATTAAAAACTGCTTTTATTCTAGCCGAAATAAAACAAATAAGACTTTCTCCAGAAGAAAAAATATTATCAGACATACTGTGAACATTTCCTGAATCTGTTCAACATCATTTGGGAAATATTTAAAGCAGAAAAAGGAGAAACTTTAACTGTTTATACAGGATATGGAAAAAATATTCATGGGACATGGCAAGATAGAAGGGTAAAACACACGAGAATCCCAGAGGGTTAACAGGAACGCTTTCTGGAGAAACTTTGTTGCTATACCATGGCTGCAGCAGGCGTGCAGTGATATTATGAAGTGCCAGAAAATAGTCCCCAGCTAGATAAAATCACTGCGTAAGAGCATTAAAAACATAAAATAACAACTTTTCATTTTCCGTCAGTCTTAGTAAACAAAGTACAGAAGAGCCCAGCTTTAAAAAAAACTTTTTTTTTTTTTGAGCTAGATGCTAATGATCTAATCCAATTCAATGATTTATGCTAAGCTAAGCTAAAAAGTGCTCCCGCCAGAAATAGATTAGCTGAATGTATTCAAAAATGGTCAACTTTAAGTCTTTTTGGCCTATTAGGCTGTAAAATAACCTATTTGGAGTGCTTTTTAAGAGACATGTGAAAATGATGACTATATGAAACGCATTTATTTACAGTTTACCACTGTTATTCTGGACGAGTGGCTGTTTATATTCATATTAAACCAACATAAGTCAGTCGGCTCATGTGCACATACAGCTCAACCTCAAAAATATTTTGAATATGAACTCGATGAATGCTCAAAATATCTGTGTGAAGTGT